CACTCATCATCATCATATGTGAGTGCTGATGAGTCAGTGAGTGAGTGAGTGAGTGAGTGAGTGAGTGAGTGAGTGAGTGAGTGAGTGAGTGAGTGAGTGAATGAGTGGGTGCGTGAGTTAGTGTGTGTGTGAAGGGTGATGAGTGAATGAGTGAGGAATGAGTGATGATGATGATGGTGGGTTCCTGTTCGTGCGCGGGGTGTCCAGAGAAAACAAGAACCCAATTTTGGATGTGGGAAACAAGAACCCCACTTTGGATGTGGGTAATCATAATAATCATAAGAATCATCATACTAATATTAAGAAAAAGAAAGAAGACTAAGAAGAATAATGCTAATAATAATAAGGATCATATAAATTACTCCGACGGAAGGCCCCACATGAGAATCCTCTGGGCGAATCTGGAAAAAGCCCTCACCGTCGTCCTCGTGGTTGGTGAGGCGTCCTGGCTGTCTCTCTGGCGTATATTTCTTTTCGCCCTGGCGCGGGCCCTCCCCCCGCTCCCTAAGTTGCCCCCGACCTCGCCCTCTTGTTTTGGCTCCGGACATTCAGAAAGTGGCCCGGGAGTGGTGTTCTGGGAACACGAAGAACACGAAGTGGCCTACAGTTGGCTCCGGGCATTCAAAATAAGGCCCGGGAATGGTGTTCTGGGAGCACGAAGAACACGAAGTGGCCTACGGTTGGCTCCAGGCATTCAATATGTGGCCTGGGAATGGCGTTCTGGCAGCGCGAGAGCCCAAAAGTGGCGATAATTATAAGAATTTGATGACCCGCTCGGATTAGTAACATGATCCGCGGGCCCCATAGGGAGGGGGCTCCCGCTTGAGACGCCCTCGCAATTCACTCGCAAATGTAGCCTGGGAATGGCATTCTGGCAGCGCGAGAGCCCAAAAGTAGCGACAGTTACAAGAATTGGATGACCCGCTCGGATTAGTAACATGATCCGCGGGCCCCATAGGGAGGGGGGTCCCGCTTGAGACGTCCTCGCAATTCACTCACAAATGTGGCCTGGGAATGGCGTTCTGGCAGCGCGAGAGCCCAAAAGTGGCGATAGTTACAGGAATTGGATGACCCGCTCGGATTAGTAACATAATCCGCGGGCCCCATAGGGAGGGGGCTCCGCCTGAGACTTCCTCATAATTCACTCACAGACGAGGCCCAAGACGAGTGCGTGAGTGAGTGAGTGACTGACTGACTGACTGACTGACTGGTGATGATGATGATCATCATCACACACTCTCTCACACGCACACTCATCATCATCATATGTGAGTGCTGATGAGTGAGTGAGTGCTGATGAGTGAGTGAGTGAGTGAGTGAGTGAGTGAGTGAGTGAGTGTGCGAGGGATGATGAGTGAGTGAGTGAGTGAGGAATGAATGATGATGATGATGGTGGGTTCCTGTTCCTGCGCGGGGTGTCCAGAGGAAACAAGAACCCCACTTTGGATGTGGGGAAGAAGAGAGAGCCGCGCCCTGCGCTACACGTGACTGATAGGTCCGTCGCCAAACAAATTGTTTGCTCATCTATGGGCTTCGGCCCATACCGCCACCGTGCCTGCGTTTCGCGTCAGAGGCTTCTTGGATACCTGTAATGAGACGTATCTTGGCATGTTTCTCGGGCGTCTCGTGGAGCGAGTTTTAAAGCTTTTTGGCGCCTCTTGGAGGCCGTTTGGGGGCGTCTTGGGGCTTTTTGGGGTGCCCTTGAGGGCATCTTGGGGGCCTTCTGGCGGCCTTGGGGGTCCGCTTGGAGCGGAGGGCTCGGAATGTGTGTTCGGATTCCCCCTCTTGGGCTGCTCTTGGGGCCCTCTTGGCCCCTCTTGGGCACCTCTTGGAACGTCTTGGGGCTCCCTGGGGCCTTCGTGGGGCCCTCCTAGGAGCTTCCCTGGCCGTCTTGGGGCGATATTGGGGCCGTCGCGGAGGATTTTGGCCATCAAGGGGAGCTCTTGGGCAGGGGGTCCTTTTGGCTGTCTGGAGGCCATCTCGGGGCGTCTTGGGCCATATTGCGCCGCTCTCGTCGCTCATCCGTGCTCCCTGGAGGGTGTTTCGGGCGGCCAGGACGGCCATGGGGAGGCCCAGGTGGTCCCCGAGGTGGGGGGCTGAAAAACAAGGGGTGGGGGGAATCCGAGAGAAAGAAAAACAATTCTCGTGTTGGGAGGGGGGGTGGGATGATGTAGGGTACGACTGTGGAATAAGCACCTTCAACATGCGCGGCAATGTTGATAGATATGATCATTTCTCCCACCCCCATCCTCCCAACTCGGTACCCTCAAATCTGATGTTCCCAAGAACATGCAACATCGGTAACAAATCACCGCCGGAGCCCCAGACCCCATCTTTCTGGGTCATTTTCCGAGCCGGACCGATCTGTGAGGGCCCTTGGGCCCGAAACTGGACGCAAACCGCCCTTGTGAAAGAATTGCAGCGTCAGCGCAACTATCTTTCTGAGGGAAGGTGTGCCAGCCCGGGGCCCTGGGCCCCGGTACCCCGACTTGCACAACTC